ACAGATCTACAGATCTATAGAGCTACAGATCTATCATTCCCCATCTAATGGCTGACACGTTGTCATGACGATGTACAACGTTAGGATTGGCTGGAGGAGGTATCACAGTTAAAGTTTTGTTTCCGTGTTGCTCTCCTCGACCTCTGACTGTGCAGGAGGTTTCAGAAACCCCCCCCCCCCCCCCCCCCCCCAGCTCCCAGTCCCTGGTTTGATGCTCCAGCTGTAACACCAGCAGGAGGACGCACTCATCCCTCCGGCTCTGTTCCGTCGGACTGTGTTGGCGGCGGATGTTGGCGGCTAAATGTGGTCCAGCTCTGTGAGTCACTGAGAGCAAGGAGGAACCGGGGCCCCGAGGTTTCAGTGTATTTTTTCCTTTTGTGAGTCACAGTGTGTTGGAACAAAGCAGGAGGCTGTGGAGCAGCTTATCCCCGGTGCTGTGGCTGCTCCTGCTCCGGAGGTGCCACTGACATCGTTCACTGTGCTCTCTCTCTCTCTCTCTCTCTTCCCTCTGCAGAGGTGGAGACTGTAAGAAAGTAGACATTATATAAATGACGGAGCTGAACCGATGAGTTCAGAGACCAAACAAGAGACGGAACACTGGGTTTAGCTGATCGTCGTTTGTTCTCGGCAGGATTACTTACGGGAACGGATCGGCCGATAAAGAACATATTGAACTTTAGTCTGGATCAAATCCAGAAGACGTTTCTCTGCTTTCTTTACACAAACAGTGTTCGACTGAATTCAACGATCATTTAGCTTCACTGTGGCCTTCACGTTGGTGGTTGTTAAACAATACATCAACAGGGGGCAGCACAGAGGGGAGAGTGTTGGTGAAATACTCCTCGTATCCAATGAGCATCTTACTTCGTCTGTATCCGAAGCTTTCAGCAGATCTGCGTTCAAGCGGATGAAACGAACTCAGAGTCTGTTTCCGTTTATATAATACTGAGCACAAATGAGGATGTGCCATTTGTAGTTTGTGTGATTGAGGTGAAGGTCTTCACACAGACCGACGTTCAGGGAGGTTGTGAACGGATGAAGGACTGAAACGATGGCGTGATGAG